GGGACGCGGGGCCGGCCGCAGAGCTCCTCGGGGACGCGGGGCCGGCCGCAGAGCTCTTCGGGGATGCGGGGCCGCGCTGCTCTCAGGGTGGTCCCGTCCCGTGGCGGGGAAGGCGCCGCAGGTGCGCGAACCTGAGGAAGCCCGAGGGGCCAGAAGCCCGTCGGACTTGCCTCGGCTTTAATTCTGCCCGCGCCGTGGAGGGAACTGCGCCCCGTGAGTGGTGGCTTGGAAAGTCGCGTTTCTTGTGAATGAATGCCTAAGTCCCTTCCGCCCCGCAGGCTTTTTTTTGTTTGTTAAATTTCCAGAAAAGTCCTGCTGCTGGTCATTTTGTGTAGTACCTTGCCAGTCTACTGCCCTTTCCTTCCCTCCTCAAAAGAATAGTGAACTAGCAATATTCTACTTCTAGTTCTTCTGAACTACTGTCCTTCCTTTTTCTTACAAAATCCACCCCGACATAGTGTGCAGCATCGGCGATGTTCCTGTGGCTTTAATTGGCTCAGGTCACAGCAGATTAATTTTGTGAGCAAGGTATATTTGTAGCATGTTCCATTAGAATATCCTTGCTATTCAGGGGAAGTAAAACAAAACTTTGTTTCCATATTCATATTTAACTCTTTGCTCCGAGGAAGGTTTGGAAACACATCTGTAAGAACCTGCCTGCTGCAGTTACAGGAATTGTCCTGTCCAGAAAGATGCATCTTGAAGGCAGATACAAAAAAGTTGTTTGCATTTCGTTTTACTGCATTTTTCCCCTATGAGTTATGATCTGTTGTTGTTACTCTGCCTGCAGCATCCATGGTTTCTGTGTGGGTTTATGTTGTGTGTGTTTCCTGGTGGTGCTGTGACTGCAGAGAGGAGAGCAGGTTGTGTGGGCTGAGCTTTGTCTGTGCCACTACAGAGCCAGCACACATCTGCAAACCGAGGAGCCCTGCTGAAAGTATCAGGAGAAACCTCTTTATTCTGTACCTGCTGTCTCATTCACCTGGTCAGTGTACCAATTCCTCTGCCTTTCCATTCTCCACTGAAAGATACCTGCAGGAACACTGAAGGGCTCAAGGAACCAGCAGAAGTGATTTATTCTGAGTATTTCAATTATTCTGTATAAAAGCACGTTCGTGGCAGGATAGGTCATAAAGTGTACTAAATGCATACACTAATGTCATGGTAAGGATGAAGTAGAGTTTGTAATTACAACTGAAAGATCTTCATTAATTTGGCAATTACTAACCAGGTATGTTAACAATTTTCTAATTTACTTTAATGAGAAAAGAAAATTTGAAAAAAAACCAAAACTTCTCTAAATAAGTTAATAGAGGAAAATGTATTTAATTTTCTTCTGTTGATGTGTAACTCACAAAACTTTGAGGCTTTTCCAAAAGGAAAGAAGGCAAAGAGAAAGTGCTCTAGCCATGGCCCACATACATTCACTGTGTTTTTCTTTGTTTCTCCAGCTGAAATAGTCTACAGCAGGGAAAATAAAAATTTTAAATTTAAAAAAAAACAAAACTAGAAGGAATCCTAGGAATGCTGACTGCCACATGATATTCATTTTTCTTGGGGATAAAGGTACTGAACAGATTACTGAGAGGATTTATTTTTTCCATATTAGGGAATTCTCTGCATTTCAGATGAGAGCAGAGGAATGCTTCCAGGGTTTCCAGCAGCGCAGATCTTGTGTTGCATGGCAGTATTTTATAATCCAATTTATAGAAAACATTTTGATTTAGAGAATGCTAGCTGGAAGTTACAGGGCTAACGTTTATAGGAGCTGCAGGAGATTCTTAGTAATAATACATTTGAATTGTTTCTTTTTCTGCTAACATAAATTAAAACTCTATGTAACATTCTAATTTTCATGGCTCATTTGTTTCTGTCTGTAGGTTTTAAAAGCTCTCTGTCCATCTGGCACTGAGCAAAGTGAAGGTATGAAAAGTGTCTAAAGGGATGAAAAATAAAAATGTGGAAAGATCGAATGTCTGGTCTCTGAGCATGCATTGCTTTTTAAATCACTGCTTAGAATAGCTTAAGATTTACTCCCTATTATTTTGACTGGGTATCTATTTCGCCTTGAGCTTCATTTTAGGAAAAGGAGTGCTTGGAAGACAAGGTGTGAGAGAGATCTAGAGAAAGTAATCAGGGAAATGTATTTGCTGTTTCTCATAATGCAAGAACTGCCACTTGAAATGACCAGCAGCAGGCTTAAACCCAGCCAAGATGTATTTTACAGGGGATGTAAATGGGCTGCAGCCCTCATTACCATTGGATAGAGTGGTGACTGAGTGTAAACAGATTGAAAAGGGGTTTGAACAGGTTGACAGAGGAATTCCACTGACAGACTGGCACTCAGCCCCGTGGGCTGGGGCCCTCTGCCCTTTCCCCTGCCCCTTGGCAGCTGTCAGAGGCAGGGTCTTGCCCTGGGGGGGGGTCTGTTGTCCGAGACCCATAGCTGAGTTTATGTCCTGTTGTTTGAGTTGCATTATAAATTTCAATACCACTGTGGATTTGGAGGGACTGGTTGGAACTTGGATGGTTTGACAGTTCCTGGGACAAATGAGATTTTACCTGTCTCATAGTCAGAGTTGCCTTCTGTCTGTCTCAACAGTCCAGATTCTCAGTTCTTGCTCTTCTTCTGGCTTAGCCATCCGTCCATGGGTCTGTAGGCACACTCTGACTAGGTAACACTTGCTGGGGAGGTATTTTATTTGAGTGTCTCAAAAGAGTTATAAACTTACTTTAAGGGCAGCAGTATTCAGGCAGATGTTTTAAGAGCAGAGTATGGTATTTTTTTCCTGTTCATCTATGAACATCTATGTCTGTATGAACATATATAGATGTGTTCATCTGTGAACAGTATCATATGGTTCTGCTTTCTGGCTTTGACACTGCAATCATAATTTTCTCAGGAAATACAGTTTTTCCAGTTTTGTAATTATTATATAAACATATTTCATGCTTGAATTACGGGAGTTTCATCCTGAGATTCTTTAGGAAAAGGTTAAGTACAAGATCGTGTCAAACTGAATTTCATTAGAATGTTAGTAAGTCAGTCTGATAGGTAGGTATAGCTCATTTTGAGTCTTCAGCTTTTATCCTTAAATACCTGTCAAAGCAAGTTTGTCAGTTCTTTATTCATTATTTTTTTTTCTGCCAAGACCCATTACATTTTTAACCAATAAGTTGGTAAAAGATGAAAGAAGCGGAAGTTTTAATTTGTTTAGGCTTCCTGTTGTTGATTTTTTTATTAAACAAATTATAGTATGAATGGTAGTTCAATACTGAAAAAGACAAAGTGTTTTTCATTTTAAGAAGAGGGCACTACTCATCCTCTGGGCTCTCAGGGTTTTTATTCAGTCTACTGAAGGTACCACCAGAATTTCTCACATGCAGCCCAGGACCACAGCTCCCTCACACTCCCCACATCGATCCTGTGCTTGATTTGGGACAGGAAAAGGTGCTTCCTTGCAGTGTCCCATCACCAGCAAACCATCTGCACACTGTAGATTCTTAAGGGAAAATGTAATAGAACATTGACCTGCAAGCAAGTCTGCTGTCTTTGTATGAAAATGTATTACATGCACCAAATGAAAAGTTTTAAGAGCAGCATTATCCTCTGATGTATATGTGTGGGTATGTGCAGCAGACCTGTGAGAGAGTATTATCTGTAGCCAGGAGGGAGCTCTTTGACAGGTAGTGCTTGTGTGGTTCACTGTGGGTTTAGTTGTCATCCAGCTCATGTGCCCAGTCACCAATTATCTGTAATTCTCTTTTTCCTTTCCATGTCCTACTGAAACTGAAAGCATCATCAGGTGCAAACACCCTGACTGCAGATGACCATGAAACTGAGAAAACACAGCTGGACCCAGCAGAGCATGTGAGCCTTGCCTCTGAGGACACCAACCTTGGCCAGCAGCTGCCGGGAGAGGAGGGCTCAGCCACCATCCTGGACGTGATGGGGAAGACAGAGTCAGTCAGCAAAAGGGAGGAGCCAGAGGGCACGGAGCCCCTGCCTGCAGGAGAGGAGGAAAGCTCTGAGCTGCCCTCTGTGTGGCGAGAGGAGAGCAAGGGGCCTTTGCTGCCAGCACCAGGAGAAGATGCTGGGGCACCATCACCAGGACCAGCAGAGGACAGTGGGCTGGTAGAGGGCAGTGACAGCTCTGTAGTGGAAATTGTCGAGAAAGTACATACTACTGAAGAGGACCACCTCATTGAGGGTAATATTTGTGCTTTCATAAATTCAGGAGACCAAAATTTGCCTCCAGGGACTTCTGCGTGGGTCCTTTTGGCCTCAAATGAGCCTCTGGAGTCAGAATTTGGTCCAACAAGTCTGTACCATGTGAGGCATAGAAGAATGTGGCTGCGGAAGCCTTGGATATACAAGTCCAAGCTATAATAAATTTAATCAGCATTTCCACCTCTGCTATTTCATTTCATATGCTTTTTGTTCTTAGCAGGTAAAATGTCCCACCATACCCCTCATTTAAAACATTGTGTCCCTGGGTAGCTCAGACACATTCCTTGATATTTGCCCAGCCCAAAGGCTCGATTGCTTAGTCACATGTATTAATTATAAAGCAACTGTCCTTGCACACATAAAGCTGGAGGGTGCATGCTTGGATATAGAAGTAAAAGCATCTCTTTGATGCACACTTGGCATGTCCAAGAAGCTTGGCTTCTTGGCAAGAAGACAGGCAGAATAGAAGTAGTAGTGGAGAGACACAGGGCTGTCTTTGCACCAATGCTTGGAGATGACTGGGTGGGGAGAGAGGCTGTTTGAGGAAGCGGTGGTGTCTGAGATGATGGGTATTTCCATGTGCTGTGGAGGGACCTTCAGCAGGAGGTGTGCTCCTTCCTGGAAATTGCAGGCTATATTCATCTTTGGGTTAGTGCCCAGAGGACATGGACTGCTCATACAGAAGAAGAACACTCTGCAGGAGGAATCAAATTTCTCCTAAATGGTACAAAGTAGCTCAGTAAGGAATCAGATACATCCTGGAGTAGCTCTTCTTCAGGGGATAAGCAGGTAAAGCACATGAAAAGTATTTCTCTGCAGGGAGACATCTTCACTCCAGTTTTGCCTTGAAGAAGTGCAAGGGGTGGAAGGACTGATCTGTATGAAGTCCAGAGTCAGTTACACACACTCCCACTAATCCTGTGGCTTTGTGCTGCATGTCTCTGAACTGGCCATATGAATCTCATTTCTGTGCATCCCAGTAGCTGAGCATGGTTGTAGGATTGCTTTGTCCTCTCCTGTGTCTCTCCACGAGAGAATTTTGTCCTCTACATAAAATGGGCATCTACCCTTTGGAATAAAGCTTTGTTTTATGTAAGCAGTGAATGACAGGTTGCTCACCTGTTAAACACACATCCTGCCCAGCTGCAAACTCCAATTTCATTATTCACCATTTCTAAGCCTCAGGGCAATGCCAGAGGCAGAGCAGCACGCCCTGGACCTTGCACTGTCATCTCTTGTTAGTGGAAACATGTTTACAGTTGGCTGGCTGGCTGAAGATGAGTTGTGGGGCTTTTAGCACCAAGTGATGCATGCAGGGCAAGTGAATGAAGCTTTTGGGGAAAAGAGTTTTGCTCCTATTACTTCCAAGGTAGAAGTAATACCTTAATTTGTATGCATTCTCTTTCCAGAGGCATCTGATGAAGAAGGGATTTTCTATTTTTATGCTATGGTACATATGATATTTAGCATTTGTTTTACTTTCCTTTATGCTTCTGTATCTATGGGAGGAAATGAGTTAGGCAGCAGGTTCCCTGGGAAAGCAGGGTTTCAGCCAGACTTGCATGTTCCATGTTTTCTATTCCTGTTTTGTTCCAATTTCAAATAAAACTGCATATGCATGAAATAAAATCCAGGAAAAATAATTTGAACAGAAATAGTCCTCATGATTTACTTTGGACACAGCACCACGGGGAGCTTGTGAAAGTATTAGTAGAACTCCATGAGCATGAGGCAACCATATAGCTGGATGATGAAAAGTGTTTGGGATCATCCTGTTTGTCCTATATGGGTTCATTCAGAGGGTACCTTGGTAAGGGGCATTGAAGAGCTGTCAAAGCAAAATCAAGTTTACAGAAAGGAGCTGGGGCACTTGGTGCTTTGTCTTAGTGGATCCTAATTTGATCTCCATGGTTACCATTCCCAGGTGAGACGGGAGAACAGGTGGAAACTGAGCTGCTCAGTGAGACAGTAAGTGAAGGGCCTGAAACAAAAGAAGAAGAAACAGGAGAAGCTGTGGATAGTGCAGCAGCGTCAGAGATAGGTACGTTGACAGAGGAGGGAAGGACTACATGGGTTATTGTTTAAGAGACAGCAAAGACTGTGCTGTCCTTAATGAGCATATCTTGTTATTCCCCTGTTGGCACACAGCTGCTTTCTGCATTTTTACACAAAAGAATCAAAAATACTTTACATTAAAAGATATTTTTGGAAGCAATCAATTGGAAGTCATGCTTTTTACATGGGTCATCTTTATATAATACACAAGCCTTACCTGTGATAACTTTTCCCTCTTTGGGAAGAATGATAAGACTGTAACATGCAGTCTTGGAAAATAAAAACCTTTGTAAAAATCATGACTCTGCTTATTATTATTTGCAGGTTTGTTTTTGTAAGCTAAGCCTTAATGCTGCTTTGTGATTTCCATTGTGTGCCAGTCATTTTAGATTCCCTTGTTCTTATCAGCTGAAATCAGCAGCGTGATGCTGTGGTGAAAGCACATTGCACAGCATGTTAGTCACATGGTGGGAAGGAAGTGCCACAGGCCAGTTAAAGTTCCTCTGGAAAACTGTCACACCAGTGAAGAGAAAAATCCAAGGGGATAAGATTATCCCTCTGGCAGACTTTGAGATGATGGTCAAAGTTCTGTCACCATAGTCTTTCTACAAAAAAATTTCCACAAGATTTCTTCTTCCTCCGCATTCACTGAGAACCTCACACTTGAGTCTATCATGTAAGGTGTGTCCACATGCCCCAGAAAGCAGAATTAGAATCATATTGTCATTTGGGATGGAAAAGACCTCTAAGATCATTGGGTCCAACTGTTAACTCAGGGCTGCCACGTCCATCACTAAATCCTGTCCCTAAGTGCTGCATCCACACATTTTTTGAACGCCCCCAGGGATGGTGATTCCACCACCAGAGGTTACCATATGGTATTGCTGGAATGTGGAAAAGGATGAGCAAACAATGCAGACAACTCCACCTTTTCCCCAACAAAAGTTATTGCAATAGCTGGAACCACCTTCTCCTCTCCCCTCCCTCCTAATCACTGGTGTACTTATTCATGCTCAAAATCTCTCTGGGCTAGCGAGTATTTCTGTAATTCAGAAGAGAAATTCAGCAGAAAGGGTGGTAGCTACCCTACACCAGTGTTTTCAATGACTTCCAAAGGAACCTCTTGTAGCTGGGGTGAGCAAACTTTGGTTCCTTCCCAAAGCTAGTATGTGTCACAGCCTGAGGCAAGCCAGCGTGTTGCACTGCTGGTTATGCTTCTGCTAGAGGGCTAAGGGAAATGGTTTCCAGCACAAGCACTGCAGTGTGTAAGACCAGTAGGGTGGTAGTCAAGAAGTTTGGTCAAGGCTTATGTACATTTATGAACTTGTGATTACCCAAGTAAAATTAAATCAGCAGTGACAAAAAAAAAAAAAAATGCTCACCTCCCTATCATTTTCATGTTTCATAGTTGCTTATCTTTACAGATTGTTACTTTTTATGCTAGCCTAGAGCTATGCCTAAAACAAGCAGTTGTTGGCCATTGACAACTGTTCTTTTGCAGGATCTTTAAATTTATGCCAGATAACTTTGCCTATAAAGTCAAAACAAGTTTAATCAATCAACTTATTTTTAATGTCTTAAAATTATGTCTTTTTTAAAAGCTCCTATGCTCTTGCAAAGCATCACCTCTCTGTGCTGTGAAGCCAACAAAGCAGTTAGCTTGATTCTAGGAAAACATCAAAGAACACGTTCCTGTTCCTGAAGAGTAAGAAATTCAGAAAGGCTTGGGTTGGAATGGACCTTAAAGATCACTTAGTTTCAACCTTCCTGCCATGGGCAGGGATGCCACCCATTAGAACAGGCTGGTCAGGGCTCCAACTGGGAGCAACTTGGCCTTCAACATTTCCAGAAATTTCACCCAGTGATGATTACAGCTTTATTGAAATTCTTCCTGCTTTTGCCTGCTTTGGCAGTATTCTCCCCAACAGTTTTGTAAGGGAGCAGAAAGAGCAGTCCTGCTTCTGTGTCTGTAACACATTTCACATGGGAGTACACTGATACAGCTCGGAGAACAGCTGCAGGCAAGAGGAGCAAACAATGCTAAGAATGGAATAGTGACCATTTAAATGTGGGATTCTGTTGTGTAAGAGAGCAATTCTTCCATCTTGAAAGGATATTGAAGAAATAAAGCAAGATTCTGGGCAGGAAAGCAAGACTGCTTAAGGCAATGGAAAAATTCTTACTTTGAGTGACATCAAAAACATTCACAGCTTTATCTCTAGGAGGGTATGACTGAGAGGATGCAAGCTGGTCCTAGTTAAAGAAAACAACAGGGCTCTAAAGGTAGCTGATGTCCACCTAAGAACAAGGGAATTCTCAGTGACATGCTAAGTCTTGAATTTGAAATTAATGAATTAAAGGGAGCTGGCTTTTTTCATGTTATATTAACAATCTTCATAGTCATGGGGAATCACTGCAGTTGGATATCTTTCATTGGTCACCTTCCTTCCCATGCAAATTTCCCACCTTTTCTGTGTTCCCTACCCACCCTCATGGAACACCGCAATTCAGTGTTAGGAAGTCCCATGTTCTCATGTTCCCTACCCTTGCAGAGTCTTCTAGCTGGGAAAGAAGTAATTGGAGCTGGAATGGCCAGTCACTGTGATTTTAGACAATCATCCCCTTAGGCACCATCTTTTAGCTATCAAGTGAGCCCCAGAGCTTCTCAGCTGCTGATGGCCAACAGTAGCTTCAGGGCCTGGACAGTTCCTCAGCCATATTTTGTCATGGAATAGCTGAGGTAAAAAATACCTCTGGAGCTTGTCCTGTTGGGTTTTGAATCCCCAGGGGTGGAGACTCCATCAGCTGTGGGCAGCCTATTCCCATAATTTAAAGTGTCCTTACAGAAAAAAAAAATAAAAAAACCCCCTTGTATTTAAAGGAAATACGCAGCACTTCAATTTATACTCCTTGTCTCTTGTCCTTATTTAGGATTTACTGTCCATGAAATGCCTGCCTCTGTCAAATCTGACTGGAATGATGTAGTGATTTCAAAAGTTGTTAAGAGAAAAGGCAGCAGTGTGAGGAGGAGCTTGAGATTATAGCAGTGACACACAGAGGTGATATTAATGTCTGTAACAGGAAGACTGTGTATGAATGGGATGGGGGAAGAGGAAGCAGAACCAGTGGTTGCTTTTAGGTCCACACAGACCATTCTTACAGATGTAGGAGAAGAGTTATCCTGTGATACTTCCAGGCAACTTTCACTTTGAGTTCCTGTCAGATTTAGAGAATATCAAGTTTTACCTTCAATTAATGGCTAAATTATTTTTTTCCATGTGTTTCAGAGGCAGCTAATAACAAGGAATAGAAGTTATGTCTCAATGAACATCCTCTTCTTGGGCCTGCTCTTCTGTTCACATGAATATTTTTAAATTTTATTGGGTTGGGAAAATAGAAGGGCTTTTATGGATTGAACCACAAGCTACAGACACATGAATAGGAGGCACCAGAAGAAGTTTTATGTAATACAGATTTTTTGAAGTCAAGCTGCCAAGACTTCAAGTATTTGAAACACCCAAACTTTCATCTCCCTGCCACGAAGTGCCTTCTACACACCAGGATAATTTTTCAACAGCAGTATGATCATTCCTTTTTCAATTACAAGTTTTTCCCAGGCTCAGATAACTGCCTTCAACCATTGAAACCTTCAACCAACATTATATAGGATAAAGAATAGAGTGTAGCTTTTTTCTCTTTAAATGATTGTATGTAGGCAGTTCCTCTGTGTGCCAGGACTACCAACGTAGGCAGCTGCTGAACTGCACAGCACCTAGAGAACTGGGAAAGTGCTCTTTTACCAAGCTCTAACTAAATGCAGAGGTGAGTTTTCCAGAAAATAGAAGACAACAGAGTGCAGTGTCCAGGACCAAGCTGTGTGCTGATCACTCCCCATTTCTAAACTCAAATATACTGAAGGGATTGTATTACAATATATGTGATGACTTCTGCAGAAGCAGTGAGAAGAGGGCATTTTTAACTGAGTGGGATGTTTTAGTTGTATAAATCCTAAAACTTCACAGCTGTTAACATTCATGGTCAATAATAACCTGTCTTTAGCTGTTCCTCATATGCCTTTGTGGCTTCTAAAATGGACTTCTAAGAGAGAAAATACAAACCTGTCTAAGAGACAAATATAAGCCTGTTCCCAAAGGAAAGGTTATCTATTATATTCCCCTGGAATGCTGTCCTCCTGGAGAAATATGCTATCAGGGACTGCCTGGGTTATTTTCCAAAATGCTAAATATTCATTTTGGAGATGAAGCTGAATGGAAATACTTTCAAACAAATTTCCTGTGAAAACAGGCCCTGGATATGATTTGTGGTTTGGGTAGAGTAGATTTTTTTTCTGTTGGTGAATATTGCAGGATCACAGAATCAATTAGGTTGGAAAACACCTCGAAGTTACTGGAGTCCAAATGTTGACTGAAGACCACCTTGTCAACTAGACCATGGCAGTAAGTGCCACATGCAGTTATTTCCCATCCAGGGATGGTGGCTCCACCACCTCCCTGTGCGTTCCAATGTTTAACAACCTTTCCAGTGAAGAATTTCCTCCTGAACCTCCCCTTTGAGGAGCTTTGAGGCTATGTCCTGTGCAAAGGGACTCAGTATAATACATTGCTGGGGACTGTGTTTAAAAAGCTTCTCTGGCATAAGGATGTAGGACATGGAGAAAAAGTCAGTTACCTAAAAATGGCAAGCACAATATTGCTCTTTTATTAGCTTTATTGTACAAAAAGACTTAACAAAAATCCTGTCGCCAGTAAATTATACAAATCCCCTCAAAGAGATGATTTCATACTGCATGTACATGCCTGACTCCAGCTGACTCTTGTTTGTATTAAATAATCTAATTGTATTTAATAATCTAATTAAATAATCTAATCTTGTTAACCTTTTATATAAGCAGATAGTTCTTGGCTGTATCACTAAATTTAAAGTTTTCTGCTTCGCAGCATTCTTATGAACTTGTCAGCTTCATTTAATGTCAACTTCCTGTAGGCAATACCATAAACTTTTAGAACCCAAACACATACTTTTTTTTTAGGGATTTTTTTCTAGGTGGGTGCCATTTTTAATTTATTTTTTTTTAGTTTTTCTAGCCTTCTGTAATGGAGAAGCTAAAACAAGCTCCTAGCTCTATTAAAAAAATCTATTGACATTAAAGTGAGCATCAAAAATTCAGACAGAAGTAGTCAAAGTTTTTATCCACATACTGAAACCATTCCATGAAAAGAAGCCATGAAAAACAGCACCGTGTACTTTCAAGAGCTGAGGAGTGGGGGAACAGGTACTGAGCAGAATGAGAGCACCCCAAAGTGACATAGGACCGGGCTGAGTGTACAGCCATGTTCCAGGATGCCCCAAGCACTTCCATCTTCAGCTGCATCTCATGGCTGATTTCCTCCTGTGAGCTGGGAATTCAGTTCAGCCACCAGCACATGTGCCAGCACAGCCCACTCCAAAACACAGGAGATTAAATTGGCAGAGACAAGCTGACTACTGGCAAGATCATGAATTGCAGTCTGGCAAGCATTGAACTATTTTTAGTTTTATTTTATTTTATTTTATTTTAGTTAAGCAGAAATCAACAAGAGCTTTGTGACAGAGATCTAATATTCATAGAAACAGAGGAGACTGCACTTAAATGTGAAATAAGTGTAAATAAAATGTGAAGATTTTGACAAGGGAGTCAAAATGACCTGCTCACCTCAGAGTCATTCTTTCTAGCACTGTTGTAACAAGGAAGACAGGTAACTATGTATGTTCTTCCTCACTGTTCAGCTTCTTTAGGCCATTAAGCAATGCAGATGAAAACAAGAGGAATATGAACCAGTCAATGACTCAACAGCAGCAGTCTTTCTCAATCATCTTCATCCTTACATATTCTATATTCACAATAGTGAATTCTCTTTTTCCTTTCCTAAAGAGGAAATATGCTTGATACTACGTTAAACATGAAAGGTTAAATAACCTAAATTATCAAAATTTGCCTGCTAGAAATATACTGAGCACTCCTGCCCTGGGAAATAAGGTATCCCTACCATGCAAATTTCATTGATATCTAGTATTCATGGTCTGGGAGCTACCAAATCATGTACTATAGATCAAGGGCCAGTGCCTGCAGTTATTTGCCTCTGCAAACCTGGGACAACACAGAGGTTGCAAGGAGTAGAAATTGGTCTGTCAAAGAGCTTCCTCATGTTAAAGGCAGAGGTTGCAAGGAGTAGAAATTGGTCTGTCAAAGAGCTTCCTCATGTTAAAGGCTGGGAAGAGGATATGCTCCAATATTTGTGTTTACAGGATTCTCCTCCATATCTTAAGCAACATAATCTTTATTTCATTTTTAATATAGTCAAACATTTTTGATCATTCTTTTGTATTTCATCAAAAGCTAAACAATCCCCAGCCCTCAACTTCTTCTAAGGTAGAAGTAACCATTCCTCACTGCAGGGAGTGCTGGGCAGTACACTTGAAAGAAAAAACTTAATTTCCAAGCTAACAAGAAAGTTCTGGTAGAAATTTTTTCTGATTACCAATAAACACAGCCCTAGAAGAGGTTAAATTTGCACTCTGTCAGCTCTATGCAGACACATACACACACTGTAGGATCTCAGAAGATCTCTGCCTATCTGGCTGGCTAGGGTTTCACTCAATGAGGAAGTGCTTTTAGGTAAACACTGCAGCAAGAGCAAGTCCTGGTAGAAGACTGGGGCCGTTTATGTGGTTTAAGAGAACACAGTTTTATTAAAACTAGGTACTGAAATTTATTTTTTGCATTGTTTAATCTGCAGAGAATATAATCATTTAAAGAAGAAAGGGTCTTACTAAAAGAAACGCCTGGTAGAACATACACATTTCAGTACTTCATACATTGCTTTATTTTTACAGAAAGAGACCTGTTTTGCTGTGTTTTTTTAGTTACATGTAATAGAAACAAATTTTAAATGCTGAAATCAGGATGCCACAAGCTGAATTTCAACTTTGTATTTTGCATGGAGCTCAGTCTAGCGAAGGAAAAAAAAAAAAAAGCTGGTTTTAACATGCTTCTGTTTAAAACTGGATTTATTAAATGTCTATGTACTAAGTAGTTTGCAAATTAAGACCTAAGAGACAGACTTTTCATATTAGAGAATCACATGTGTTGGCCTTTTTGTTTTAAATAATAGAATCATAATATAACTCTGCTTAATAAAATAAAAGTCTTACGCTTCTCTGTGGAACGCTGATTTTTTTATTTTGAAAACTACTATGCTAGAGCTGTAAATAAGAGAGTTTATTTCATTTATTCTAGACTTCCTGTACCAGAAGAATACATATCAAAAATTGTCTTGAATGGCTTTGATTTAAATATATAGTCTAAAAACTACAACTGTCTTCACCTGAAGAGCTAAAAGGGAANATGCTAAATATTCATTTTGGAGATGAAGCTGAATGGAAATACTTTCAAACAAATTTCCTGTGAAAACAGGCCCTGGATATGATTTGTGGTTTGGGTAGAGTAGATTTTTTTTCTGTTGGTGAATATTGCAGGATCACAGAATCAATTAGGTTGGAAAACACCTCGAAGTTACTGGAGTCCAAATGTTGACTGAAGACCACCTTGTCAACTAGACCATGGCAGTAAGTGCCACATGCAGTTATTTCCCATCCAGGGATGGTGGCTCCACCACCTCCCTGTGCGTTCCAATGTTTAACAACCTTTCCAGTGAAGAATTTCCTCCTGAACCTCCCCTTTGAGGAGCTTTGAGGCTATGTCCTGTGCAAAGGGACTCAGTATAATACATTGCTGGGGACTGTGTTTAAAAAGCTTCTCTGGCATAAGGATGTAGGACATGGAGAAAAAGTCAGTTACCTAAAAATGGCAAGCACAATATTGCTCTTTTATTAGCTTTATTGTACAAAAAGACTTAACAAAAATCCTGTCACCAGTAAATTATACAAATCCCCTCAAAGAGATGATTTCATACTGCATGTACATGCCTGACTCCAGCTGACTCGTTTGTATTAAATAATCTAATTGTATTTAATAATCTAATTAAATAATCTAATCTTATTAACCTTTTATATAAGCAGATAGTTCTTGGCTGTATCACTAAATTTAAAGTTTTCTGCTTCGCAGCATTCTTATGAACTTGTCAGCTTCATTTAATGTCAACTTCCTGTAGGCAATACCATAAACTTTTAGAACCCAAACACATACTTTTTTTTTAGGGATTTTTTTCTAGGTGGGTGCCATTTTTAATTTATTTTTTTTAGTTTTTCTAGCCTTCTGTAATGGAGAAGCTAAAACAAGCTCCTAGCTCTATTAAAAAAAATCTATTGACATTAAAGTGAGCATCAAAAATTCAGACAGAAGTAGTCAAAGTTTTTATCCACATACTGAAACCATTCCATGAAAAGAAGCCATGAAAAACAGCACCGTGTACTTCCAAGAGCTGAGGAGTGGGGGAACAGGTACTGAGCAGAATGAGAGCACCCCAAAGTGACATAGGACCGGGCTGAGTGTACAGCCATGTTCCAGGATGCCCCAAGCACTTCCATCTTCAGCTGCATCTCATGGCTGATTTCCTCCTGTGAGCTGGGAATTCAGTTCAGCCACCAGCACATGTGCCAGCACAGCCCACTCCAAAACACAGGAGATTAAATTGGCAGAGACAAGCTGACTACTGGCAAGATCATGAATTGCAGTCTGGCAAGCATTGAACTATTTTTAAGCAGAAATCAACAAGAGCTTTGTGACAGAGATCTAATATTCATAGAAACAGAGGAGACTGCACTTAAATGTGAAATAAGTGTAAATAAAATGTGAAGATTTTGACAAGGGAGTCAAAATGACCTGCTCACCTCAGAGTCATTCTTTCTAGCACTGTTGTAACAAGGAAGACAGGTAACTATGTATGTTCTTCCTCACTGTTCAGCTTCTTCAGGCCATTAAGCAATGCAGATGAAAACAAGAGGAATATGAACCAGTCAGTGACTCAACAGCAGCAGTCTTTCTCAATCATCTTCATCCTTACATATTCTATATTCACAATAGTGAATTCTCTTTTTCCTTTCCTAAAGAGGAAATATGCTTGATACTACATTAAACATGAAAGGTTAAATAAACTAAATTATCAAAATTTGCCTGCTAGAAATATACTGAGCACTCCTGCCCTGAGAAATAAGGTATCCCTACCATGCAAATTTCATTGATATCTAGTATTCATGGTCTGGGAGCTACCAAATCACGTACTATAGATCAAGGGCCAGTGCCTGCAGTTATTTGCCTCTGCAAACCAGAGGTTGCAAGGAGTAGAAATTGGTCTGTCAAAGAGCTTCCTCATGTTAAAGGCTGGGAAGAGGATATGCTCCAATATTTGTGTTTACAGAATTCTCCTCCATATCTTAAGCAACATAATCTTTATTTCATTTTTAATATAGTCAAATATTTTTGATCAGTCTTTCGTATTTCATCAAAAGCTAAACAATCCCCAGCCCTCAACTTCTTCTAAGGTAAAAGTAACCATTCCTCACTGCAGGGAGTGCTGGGCAGTACACTTGAAAGAACAAACTTAATTTCCAAGCTAACAAGAAAGTTCTGATAGAAATTTTTTCTGATTACCAATAAACACAGCCCTAGAAGAGGTTAAATTTGCACTCTGTCAGCTCTATGCAGACACATACACACACTGTAGGATCTCAGAAGATCTCTGCCTATCTGGCTGGCTAGGGTTTCACTCAATGAGGAAGTGCTTTTAGGTAAACACTGCAGCAAGAGCAAGTCCTGGTAGAAGACCGGGGCCGTTTATGTGGTTTAAGAGAACACAGTTTTATTAAAACTAGGTACTGAAATTTATTTTTTGCATTGTTTAATCTGTAGAGAATATAATCATTTAAAGAAGAAAGGGTCTTACTAAAAGAAATGCCTGGTAGAACATACACATTTCAGTACTTCATACATTGCTTTATTTTTACAGAAAGAGACCTGTTTTGCTGTGTTTTTTTAGTTACATGTAATAGAAACAAATTTTAAATGCTGAAATCAGGATGCCACAAGCTGAATTTCAACTTTGTATTTTGCATGGAGCTCAGTCTAGCAAAGGAAAAAAAAAAAAAAAAGCTGGTTTTAACATGCTTCTGTTTAAAACTGGATTTATTAAATGTCTATGTACTAAGTAGTTTGCAAATTAAGACCTAAGAGACAGACTTTTCATATTAAAGAATCACATGTGTTGGCCTTTTTGTTTTAAAGAATAGAATCATAATATAACTCTGCTTAATAAAATAAAAGTCTTACGCTTCTCTGTGGAACGCTGATTTTTTTATTTTGAAAACTACTATGCTAGAGCTGTAAATAAGAGAGTTTATTTCATTTATTCTAGACTTCCTGTACCAGAAGAATACATATCAAAAATTGTCTTGAATGGCTTTGATTTAAATATATAGTCTAAAAACTACAACTGTCTTCACCTGAAGAGCTAAAAGGGAACTTCAGTTCCTGAGTTTTTGCAGAATGGCACCTACTTACCGATTAAAACACTTAATGTGTTCTGCCCTGCTGGCAGCATTCAGCATGGAACTTTTTCCAGGTGTTTCATTTACATTTCAGTTTCAGACTGTCCCTTACTGTGGAGAGCAATGGTGTATTCCCTCTCCTGCCACCGAAGTCTCCCAAGGAGGGCGGCTATGGACTTACACCGGCCAAGAAAATACCGCTACTGCCATCTCGTGTTGGGTTGGAGGTGGCACAAAGGCTGCGGGTCCCGCGTTAGGAAGGCAGGGGGGAACGGCGAGCAGTAAGAAAGGATAACACCGTTATTATGAAAGCCTGAACTTAGCCAATGTTCAAGACTCTTGAAATCAACTGATGTACAGTGAACTTGAACTAAATCCACTACAAATCAGTGAAATAAATCCCAACCAAGTAATTACACCTAAACAAAGCTGTAACAAAGAAACCTAAATATAAACTAGGAATTAAACTACATTAAAAAACTTAAATGTAACTCAAATTAAATTATTTTTAATGATTATTAATCGAAAAAATGAAGGAACGTCTGATTTATGCTTCCTAGAAAGTCATAGCCATATTAGTTAGTACTAACTCCTTCCTAACAAGTCTGACCATGTTTTTTCTTAGGTGAGATTGCTTATGGAGTCAAAGCTACAGAGCATAAATTGCATTATTAGTACAGCCAAGGAAACAGAACAAGAACAGAAGCCAAAACTAATCAAAGTTTACATATAGGAAGCTTATTTAGAGAAACAGCAGTCAGTTTTCAAAGGCTGTTTGGAAGTTTGGTGTTTGAAATAACAAAGGTTTTATCTTGCATCTAATAAATACAATTAATCTGCCAAAGAAAGCAAGATAATACTATTAAAAAATCCTTAGATCTGCAAATATTTGCTGTGACAACCTCATTATAAGTATTTTTTTTTTTTTTAATAATAAATACAATTTATAAGCTCTGTGAAAAGAAGGAATGGCTGTTTCACATCAAATCTAAGACTGGTAAGTAGGGTTGACTGTTCTCACAGTATCCATTTCTACTTGATAGAAGATCAGTACAAAAGGATGGGATAAGTTACTAGCATCACCAGTTTGACTTCTCAATATTGTTTAATCACTCCATCAAACCAGTACTTCTAACCTCAGTGTCAGAGGAAAAAATTACAAGAACTGTAATGACATGGCAGCTGAAAGCTTCCTGTCCTGAAGAATTTAATCTGTAGCTATTAGGATGTAGATAAATAAGCTTACTCTTTCGGTTCAAATTATTTGTTATTGAATAAGCAAGCTGGAAACTTTTTTGTAATGGAGTATCAAACCCCAGTTAGGAAAAGAAAAGTTTGTTCCCTTAATAGACAAACACATTTTTGCAGTTGCAATTATATTTTATTCTCATTAAACATTTTTTAATTTTTTTTTTTAATCAAAACATAGTCAAAGTTGAAATGATATGAAAAAGATTACGAAAAAGGTTACAGGTAGATTAAGTAATTTTCATCTGATTTATAAAGGTACCACTTCAGAAAAGTGTAATTTTCTTCTTTCTGAAATTAATATTAACTTTCTTAAGGAATTGCTTAGGTATGAAAAAATCTGAATCCCAACAGTAATCTGTTATGTAAAGAATGAGGTTAAGAAAATTCAGAAGCAAATAGAGTAAAACTCCTCAGCAGTGAAGAGGTATGCTAAGCAATTCAAGTGCTCTGTTTTCTCATTTCTGTCATTTTTCTGATTTGAAATTGTTACTAAAAACCTACTATTACAAATCACTATAGTTTTCCATGTCCAGATCACCCATAGTATAACTGTAATATATTCACACAGTTATGTACCCTAATGCCTGAATATCCAGTCACCTCCACAAAGGGCAGTCCTGTCCTGCAATCTGGCTCAGCTGATTGTAGCAGGACTCAGGCACTTTCCAGGATTTGCCAGCAGAGAACTCACTGTGAATCCTGAAGGAAGCACCTTTCCTCAGTAAGCTAACTGATTTCAACTGTGTGTAACTGCTGTTAGTCAGCTGTAGGAATTTGTTATAAGGGAGAAGTATTAACTAAATGAAAACTGTCATTGTAAGATGTCCAGTCTCCACTTATAGTCATGCTGAAGCATCTTGGAGAGGTCCCTTAATGGCAATAGCTTCAATCTCAACTCTGGCCCCCTGTGACAAAACAATGAAGAAATATATTAGGAATTTAATGTATCTATTTTATTAAGCAATTGGATGAACAACACAACTTTGTACGAACAGAGTGACATTTGAGAGAGATTGTATTTCTGACAGTTGTATTACAGATTTAGCTATGCTCACTAATAATGTAAATTCAATTTATGCTTACTCCAGCATCATAACCCCTTATTTCTACCATTTCATCTATCTTCCACCATAAAGAAATGTGTATCTTGTATTCAGATCTCTGATAACGTGTGGGAATAACAATAGTATAGTTAGAAAATAAACTAATTAAATCTTCATTAAAATAATTGCAATCAAAGCTATTTCAGAATAAGAAAATCTGTCAGAATGCTTTAGTAGGAAGGTATTCCAGAACATTTTGGGGTTTTTTGTAGACAGAAAAGTGACACTTACTCTGGGCAAAGCAGCAACTTGATAGGCTGCTCTGGCTGGGAAGTTTGCCTTGAAAACTGTAATTTAAACAGAAACATCCAGCAATCATTAAACTTGACTTGATAAAACACAGTTCAAAGTAATCTATATAAAATGCAATCATTGGAACAGTTTCAGGTTCAAGGCTGCAAGACTTCTATGCCATCTATCATTTCTCCCCTTGTTGTTTTGTTTTGGTGACTGACTGCTCTCAATATCATCAAGCCAAGCAATCAGCAGCAGCTGTGACCAGTGGCCAGTGATAACTTGTATTCTGCTGACACTGCAGGGCCTTAACACCAACTTGGCTGAAAAAGGAAGATTAAATCAGAATGGTGAGAGTGTGAGATAGCTCTTTCACAGAAAGAGCAGGAGAGAGAAACAGGCCTCTGCCAAAAGAGTCATGAGCAAAGATCCCAGAGTCACCAGGAGTCCAACCATACTCGTATCAAAGGAAAACAGGGGAAAAATAGGCCCTTCCTCCATGCCCATTTAGACCTGACAATCACAGATAATAGAACAGGGGTAGGGCATGGGGAAGGGCACTGGTAAAGATATAAGAGCTGAATTTATAAAATATTAGAATAGTTCAGGCCTGAAGGAACCTTTAAAGATCACATAATCCAATTCACCACCATGCCATGGCCAAGAACATCTTCCATTCAGTCAGGTTGCTCAAAGTCCCGTCCAGCCTGACAGAACATTTCCAAAAAAATTTGCATAATGAAGAGAAAGTTTTACCAGTGACAGTTATCACAAATCTGTTAATAATGGCAATTTTTGGGTCCTGCATTGGATGATAATAACTCCCAATCAAAGAACAGCAGCAACTCTCAAAGTCCAGGTTGGAGGCAACAAGTAACTAAGCATGCAGCTGGTCTGGTTTTACCCTACTTAAGCACACACATCCCCCAGTACATTCTGACAAGTAGGAGACTCTGTTAGTTGCTCATCAATGAGATTTCATTCAAGACCAGATGCTACTATTTAATGAAAAGCCAAAGCTATATAAATAAGGAGCTCATGCAAATTGTCCCAAATTATTCTGAACAACACAGCTCATCGGAATCACCTCTTTCAGTCTACATTCAGTTTTGTTGACCAAGCATTGTTCTCTTTTTTCTTCAAGGGGAGCAGCATGACTCATCCTTGTATAAAGAACAAGCCCTGTCACATAACAATGACTCTCAAATTGTTCAAAGATACAGACTTTAAAGAAATGGAGGTATAAAATCTGTAATTCTGCATTTGAAGGCTGCCTACAGTAGAATTATAGCCAGGACAGCAGGGCATCAAGCAAGATTAAGAGGCAAAGATCAACCTGTAGGGATAGCAACAGCTGATCATCACAGGACAGTGAGTTAGTTAGTGGGATGGTGGAACACAAATCCAAATGAAATTAGGCTCTGCTTGGATTGATAGTTGAAAATGAATTTTTTTTTTGTTTATTTCTACAGCAATTTCAAAGAATATGGAACTACATCATTTGAGTCATTAGAACACTTTGACTACCATGAACAAAACAAGCCATAAAACATAAGCAAAATATCTACTTACATTGTTTGTAAACATCATTAATATCATTGTAGTCCTTCATGTCTGCCATCAAAACCGTAGTCTTCACAACTAGAAACCATAAAAGTACTTTTTAGACTTTTGACTACTTTAGACTATTTTAGACTTCTGACTTACATACAAAAATTGAAAAACTTTAGTGCATTTCTTGATTTTATTTCATACATTTCTCTCAAGTATTCTAAAGAGTTTGAAAAGTTTTGCAGATATTGACCATTAGAGCCACAACCTAGTGAACCATCTAAAAAAATCTGAACACCTAGCATGTAATAAAACTTTAAGGAATTAAGCCATTCCTGACTAGCTCTGAAAAAGCCAAACTCTTCCAAGAGGCACTGAACTGATAAGCAGATCAATTAAAATAGCTGTTGTAAGCCAGATATAATATCTGCTGCCAGAAAAAAAAAAGGTCATAGAAGGTCTGAAAATATAGTCTGTGCTAGAATTTTTTTCCCAGGACTGCCTAACCTAAGTATATAACCTAAGTATTGAAAGTGTCAAGAATATTAATACCACAAGCAGATAGAAACCTGCATTCACCTGGGGCAAAACCTAGGGTGCTTAAAATGTATTTAAGCAATATTGTCTATACGTGAGATTCCCCAGTTGGAATTAAAATATTAGTACCACTGTCAGAAATTTTTGGTGAAAGGCAGTGTTCCATTGATACCCATTGCAAAGACTTACATGTAGATTTATTACTTTTATTTTTTAACTTAAACTCACAATTTCTTTTGCTTCATCCAGCTATTGGTAACAACTGAAGGTTCAGCAAATAGGTTTTGTTTTTTTTTTAAAAAAAAGATCACTTGATTTCTTTGTATTTTAATTCAGGTAAAAACAGCCACCTGTTTGCCACAGTCACAGCAGCACTTACCATTGCCATAGTCACAGCCTGCAGCTTTCAGGATTTCTCCCATGTTTTTTAGAGCCTAAAGAAAAATGAAACAAAAATCTTTTAGCTATCAGCTGGGTTATATTTATGTAAGTATGTAAATATGACTTAGCTGAATCCATGCTTTACTGTAAATTCAACCAGCAAAACCTCAACTGTCAAAAGAAGACTGTCCTAAGTAAAAAATAATAAAAGGGAGCATCTAATAAATATTAAACCATCCATTCATTAGATGTAAACACATGATGCAGCTCCATCTTATCCTATTACCTCACTCCACCTCTTTGCTGCTGGGGGAGTAAAACTTTCCCTGGCTCAAACCAGGGTTTTTATTGGGGTATGAACTGTTGCTTCAAACACTGATTCTTTCTTACCTTCCTACATGGAACAGATTTTTACCCTGATCTCCAAGTTTTCCAAGTTGTTGGAAAAATTACAGCACTAGTTAAGGTGGAATGACTTCCTCCTGGTTTTCCCACATCTGGAGGATGTGATATGCTTTCTAGTCTCCTCAATTTCTCACAACTCCACACTGAATTAGACACATGCCAACTTCATTACAAGGTCATAGCTGGAAGACTTCTTACCTGCTTGGCTTCCTCCTTTGCCCCTCCAGAGACAAGCTGCCCAGTGGAAGGTTCCAGCCCTATCTGTCCTGCAATGTACATCGTCCGGTCCACCAGCACGGCTTGGCTGAAAACACAGGTGACATTTTAAGTCTAATGCTTCCTCACAAGAACATTTCAAATTTCAAATCTGAAAGCACATTTCAAATTTTCTACAGTACTTCATAATGTATCAGAAAGAAGGCTGAGATTGTGTACATGCAAGTCTGTACATGCAGTCACACATCAAGCTGCTTACACTTTAGACGAGCTGGGATTACACCATCTGTGGAAGTGCATTGCTCTGCCCTTGAGGAGATAAACCCTGTTTCTTGCAAAGGCACAAGGTATGAATGCAGCAACACAACATTAAACTGAGCTACAGGTTCCACACAGCAGATAGCACAGAGGGAAGGCAGGGTAAATAAAAACATTTTTTGCATCTGCCCAGATAAATATTCCATCAGAGTCTGAGAAGCAGACAATACTTTTCAACTACATTTCAGCTGCAGAGCAATGAAGGAATGGAAAGAAAAAAAAAAAAAAGGCAAAAGAGATTTAATATTTTTCTTCTTATATAGGCACTAACTATGATAAAGAGTTACAGCCGTGAGGTGACACCCTGCACACTGGTTCTCTGGCAGTATTCCTCCAGAGTAATGAATTTGGCCAGACAGCAAAACACCTTGATCACTCTATCCTCAGAACAATCACTCTCCTCTCACCAAATAACTTGAGTGACTTCTTGGCTAGGTTAATTCAGAAGAATGCAAAATTCAAGCTATTTGCAAAACATTTATATAAAAATGTCAAGTGTGCTTTTGCTGAAGTTGAGTTGGCAATTATTAATGTCCCTATTATAGAGAGGTTAAAAGTTTAAAACAAATATTTGAACTACCTAGCAAACATTATGCAAAAGACACAATTTAATTCTCTCCAACCAATAATTAAAAATATTTTGCAAAGAAATTACAGAAACATTCTTTTGGAACTGTTTATAGCATGTCAAGATTGTTTTTCATATCTCTTCTCATCCCACAAGAAAATGCATTGTTTTGACCATTTAACAACTGCCTCAAGCTACATAAACTAGAGTTAGGCACCTCCCTGAAGTATCTGAAATAGGAGGTTTGTTTGCCTTTAATGTCAATGGAAAAAGAGGGACACATTCAGAGAATGCTTTTAGTTCATCTCTCAACTGAGATTCACTCAGTTGGATTGTCTTAATCCATTCACCTCACAGGGGACCAACCTAATCTAGGGACTCAGTCAAATGATCAGGGTTAGGCAGTTTGAACAATGCCATCATTCACATCTTTTCTTTTACACCTTTCCTACATTCTCCTTTAATTTCATAAGGGGAAGAAATAGCCAGTAATCTGTCAGATATGATAAACTATCTTACATGGGGATTATTTCTTCTGTCATCAACTAACAAAACTGGAGTAAATCACCATTCAAAGAAGAGAAACCAGTTAAAGTAATTTTCTAGCTGACACAGTCTTGAGATAGAAATGTGTGCATGTACACACAGGCTTCTTTAATTTTCTTTCCTACCACTCCTGCTGTGGAGAGAGGCCCTCAGTGTACAAACTTGTGTTTCTGTTTGAAGCACAGAGAACTGTGCAACAAGAAGTATGGGCTCTCCAGTACAAGAGATTGCTTTGTAGTGCTTATCACAAAGCAAATGACAGTGAAATGTTTGTCTCAACAGAGACCTTTGGAGAGTCCTAAATCATTAATAACTTTGGAAAGAACATACTGAAGCTTTCTGATACCACTGCCAGATCAACATCTGCAGCAGCCTTATTGGTTCTCCTGCTCTGCTCAACTTCCCCCTCTTGGTGTGTTCATCAATAGAATCCTCCATTCACTGAGACTAGGAACAATTTACCAGACAAGGAGTAAACTTCTACTGCACTAAACACTAAGTGAAGCTAAGGGAAACTTCAGCTCCACAAACCCCAATAATTCTTTAGCTGCAGATGCACCACATAACTAGGGCAAATCACAGATACTCATTAATCAGTAGGGATGTGAATGTGTGTCTAAAGTCATTCAGGTTTCAGTGTACCTAAAAGCATAACTGGCCAGACACTGTGACCTTAGAACAACATTGTCTGCCAGAGAGATGGTGTTAGGAACCATACTCTTTGTTAATCAGATCTTCTTTACACATATGACTGTGGATTAATACAAGAGCAGTATCTCTGCAGTGGCTTTTAAAAGGTTAATAATATTAATGAGATATATAGACGCATACACAGATATGTGATTTTTTATATATCTACCTACCTATCTCAAGGTATTGGCAAATGGATGAAGTAAAGGAAATAGAAAAATACAGTAAAAATAGGTCACCAGAAAGCATTTGTAGCAGAACCAGGAATGCAGCCCACACATCCCAATTCTTCATTTCACATTAAGCCCCCATTCCTGCATAAGCGACCTCAGACTTCACAGCAGAGATGCGGCAGTTATTTCTTGTGCAACTTCTGCTCTCTGGACTTTGACAAGCTTACTGAAATCTGATAAACTAAGTTAGCTATAAACTTACTGATGTTAGACCTGTCATACATTTAACAGGCTGCATAATAAGCAGTATTTCATCAAAAACTACCAACAAGCACAGCATTTCGGAGTGGAAAGCCATGTTGAAGGCTGGGACAGTGGTGTGAGTGTGCAGACAAAGAATTGTTGCCTTCCTGTGTCTTAGATGTTCTCCTGATGCCAAGCAATGCCAGGCCCCTGGCTGCAATCCACCAGCAGTTAATTGTTTACAGAAGTTAACCTTCATGCCATGTCTCTCTGCTTCTACACTTTGTATTTTTTCATTTTTATAATGCCTGTAAGAAACACACAGTTTGAAGCTTAGAAAACTCAGGACACAAAGTAATGGAGAAAAAAATGCACCTGGAAGGCATGAAGATGCTATTGTGAACACAAAGCCTGAATACAGAATTAAGAATTCTTTAAAAATGTCCTGGTAAAAACCCCTCAGTACTTCAGCTCTAAGAATCTACTATACTGACGGAACATTTTTTTTTTCATATTCAAATTGCAAAGAGAAACCTTTCTCCAATTAAAACTGTGATGTTTTTAAATTTTATTTATATGCAGAACTGCTATAACATACTTGTGAAAATGTTGAACATCTTACATATTTTTACAGCAGTTAAGTTTTTAGACTGAAAAACATTTATAACTATTCAAAATAAGAAAGAATTTTCAACTCCTGAGCATTGAATTCTCCATCTATCCAAGCTCACCCTGGACTGGGCTCAGCCTTCACCCTCCATCACCAGCATAGTCAGCATTTCTAGCTTCCCTACACAACGTGCTTGTTTCTAGCCAAGCACCCTTTTCTAGACAACAATCATTCTTCTTCCTTTTTTTTTTTAATTCACTCCTTACCACTAATTCCAGAATTACTTTCCCAAATTAACTTTTTGAAGTATATCCCCTCCCGTTATCAGGCTGCAGTTTGCTGTGGCACCACAGCTTTACTCGTGCTTTAGGACTCCAGGTGTCCCTTGAGGTTCCTGGGGGAGGGGGTACCAGGGCTGGCCCCTGCTCATGGGTCCTGCTCTCACCTCAGCCCCAGGCCTGCCTAATAGACCTGCCAAAACCCTACCAGCAAAACTTGCTCCTGTGTCTCCTGAGATGTTCCACTCCCAAATCACAGAATTGTTAGGATTGGAAGGGTGCTCTGGAGATCATTCACTCCAACCCCCCTGGAGCAGGTTACACAGGAAAGCATCCAGCAGGGTTTGGAATGTCACCAGAGAAGGACATTATACAACTTCCCTGGCCAGCCTATTCAAGTGTTCTGCCACTCTCAGTATAAAAGGAGTTCTTCCTCATGAGCTGAAATTTGTGTTCTAGTTTATGGCCACTGCTCCTTGTCCTGTCACTGGGCAGCACTGAAGAGTCTGGCACCATCTACTTGGCACCTGCCTCTGCGGTAGTTATAGGTGTTGATGAGATCCCCTCTCAGTCTTCTCTAAATAGGCCCAGCTCCCCCAGTCTCTCCTTTTAGAGATGCTCCAGAGACCCCTCATCATCTTTGTGCCCCTCTGCTGACCCTCTCCAGTAGCTCCTTGTCTTTCTTGTACCAAGGAGCCCAGAACTGGACACAGCATTTCAAATGTGGCCTCACTAGGGCCGGGCAGAGGGACAGGATCACATCCCTCGACCTGTTGGCCACTTTTCCCGATGCACCCAGGAAAGCATTGGCCACAAAGGCGCTGCCGGCTCACGATCTTGTTATGCACCAAGACTCTCAGATCTTTCTTAGCTAAGGCATTACCTGTAGGGACCCAGCGCAGGGGCCTTAGTAGTGCTGATTATTTTCTTCACGAGCGAGGCCATGGCTGGCGCTGGTGCTGAAGCTGCAGTAAGTGCTGGGCCCTCCCCTCCTGCACTCCCTCCCCTCAGAGTCCAGCCAGTGCACGCCCCACCCACCACCGCCCGCGGAGGCTCCTGGGAAATGTAGTCCTTAAGGGCTGTGTCTGGGAGTGCGCATGCGCTGTGCCGGGGCGTGGGTGCCCACGTGTGCCGTGGAGGCCGCGCCGAGAGTGAGTGCGTGGTTGGGGTTGGTGTCGGGGGCTGTGGCTGCACCTGCACCTGCTGCGCCCGCGACCTCTCCCCTCCTCTGACCGCTACGGAGAGGCTCCGCAACCCCGCCGGAGATGTCTGGGGCGCGGGAGAAGAAGCGAGCCAAGAAGATGAGGAATCAGCCGGCCAGCGTCACGCTGCCCGCAGAGCCGGGGCCCTTCGCCGGTGGCGGGAGCAGAGCCTGCCCGCCCCCAGGTACGGCTGTGGGAGCCCTTCCCGGGGCTGGCAGGGTGATCCCCCTCAGGCCCAAGTGTCCCCCTCTCCACAGCCCGCAGGGTGCTCAACGTGGGAGTATCCAGGGCTTCCTTTAGTCCTGGTGCTGCCGTAAGTCCCGTTAATACGGGATTCTCTTTAACATGAGAGGCTTGCGGAGTCTCTGTCTGAAGTCATTCCAAACCCACCGGTTCTGTGTAACCTGCTCTATGTGACCCTGCCTTGGCGGGGGGTTGGACTGGATCGTCTCCAGAGGCCCTTTCCAGCTCAGACTATTCTGTACCCTGTGAGTATGCGCTTCTCCCTATCATTCTTTCAATTACATAACGAATCCCTGCAGTTCCTAGCCGTAAAATTAATTTGGATGTTATACCAAATCCAGTTTCTCCTTTGCTTTTCCGCCAGACCTGGTAGGAGGAGGGGCTGGTTTAGCCTCCTGGTGTTACGATAAATGCGCTGATTTTCCTTCAGATCCCTCAGATCTGCATGCCCCCAGTTTGCCTGCTGGGGCTTGTGGCTCCTGTGCCTGCAAAGGGAATTGGCAGGGCATGTCCCTAAATTGGCACTGTCCCGGGTCATTGCTGGAGCATTTTGTACACAGGTACCCTTTGCAGCTGAAGACTGCAGGATCCTGTCAGCTTGTATGCTAGATGCCTTTTTGGTCTTTGTGGTTTGATCTGCATCCACTATGCTTCAGCAGGACCTCAATTTCCACCACCACCATCACATTTAGATATTTTGTTACCTGCACTATTTCTGTGAAAAACCCCTGGCATGAAAGGACTTGTTACTGTGAAGCCTTCAGAAGTTGACAAATTGTATATTTGTGATTGAATGAAAAAACCCTTATGTGTCACTGTGTATTAAGTTCCTGGGCAGACTGAATGACATAGCAAATTATATTCCTCCATGTCTGAAGATTTTGGAATGTCATTACAGGAGTACTGCCAGATTAAACACATATTTCAATCTTTATTTGTAGCAGGGAACTTCTAAGATTACATGCTTATGTGTTTCCATTCTGTTAAAAGGCATGGATTTTCTTCCATGTAACATTCTTCTATAGTGTCAGTATTATAGGTTTACAGAGCTGTTTTGTAGAAACAGGAAGGAAAAACTCTAAATAAAAGTTACAAAACTATGGATCTGTGTAGTAGCTAAATTAATTTAAGGATTTAAATTAAACAGTCAGTACAGACTGTTTTGCTAAACAATCTTCTGTCTTCTGATTACAATATTTACTTCCTTCATTGAGAGGGTGTGTCTGTGATCTGAGTTAATTTGGGGCTGTAGGCCTACACAGATTTACTGAGTTTCTATTCCTCATTCCCAGCTATTTCCTTCTCAACTCAGTGTCTGGACAATGCTGCTCTCAGGCATGTGGGAACCCAGGTCAGGGAATTGTTCCACATAAAAGCTAATTTCTGCTTCTGTACCAAATTATTTTTAATACGGTATTAGTGCAGTTCTGCATGATGTGTGGTTGCAGCAGGCTACAACAGTACTGCTGCTGAACATAAAACTTCAATTTCTTGCTTATTTGAAGTGGAAAAAGGAAGTTCTTTGCCTTTTTCGGTTCTCATAAATTGAGATGCTGCTGAATGTGAATCTGCTCCTGGCTGGTCTTCATGCTAGTGGTAGCATTTTTGGGACAAAGGGACAGGCTTTTTTAAGAAGGTGATCAACCTGAAAACAGTTTTTTTTAATCTCTCACTCTATTTCTGTGGACACACAGGTTGATTTTCACTAGAGAAGGTCCCTGAGTGCTATGGCCCCATGTTCTCTCAAGCCCTTGTCTTGATGTAGTGTATGGGGTGATAGGAATGGCTGGTTGGACCTTTCTTAGTCAAATTGTCTGGCAGAAACTGCCTGAGAACTGAGAAAAGTTGTAGTAGAAGTCATAACTAAGGCTTAACTGAACATAAAGTAATCTGAAGTAATATATAATATTAGTTAGGCTGAATATGCACAGGTCTTTGAATAAGGATTTCAAAGCCGTGTGAAACTTTAGGTACTTGCTAGGTGCTTAGCACTCCTGAAAAGAACTGCTGTACCTTAGGATGCTTTATTGTAGATTTTAGTTATTTAATTTCAGTATTGGTTCAAGTGCTTGGACCAGAAAAGTAACTTATTGTACCAATGTACAAGTATCATGCTCACCTTAATTATTGCTGTAAAAAAAATACATGTCAGGCAAGAATACATTTGCTTATAGAAAAAAAAAAAAAACAAACAAGGGGCAAGTGGAAAAAATAACTTTGCTGTTTTGTTACTAAAACTCTGACAAGACAATAATAAAAATTACTGGGATGTTCCATGGACTGATTTTGCCCTTGGGGCAAGGTCTGGATTGTGTACCCTTTTCAGAGCATGCAAAAGTTACTTAATCTACCTCATGTTTGCTGCAGGGCAGCATAAAATTCTTATTTATTCCTGTAAATAAATAAGTTAATTCTTCTGATTTCTGGTGGCTTTTACATTTATGTGTATTAAATAAAATGGGAGGGGTCTGCTATGCATTTTTATGAGAAAAGACTAATAGAGTTATTGGTTATTCAGATTATTTAATGTTTCTCTAATATCTTTCCATCTCTAAACCTTCCAGGAGATGTTCATTCTGAGCAGCAGCAGAAATTTTCAAATCAGTCATCTGGGCCTGCTTACAGGAAGGACCAATATTTTTCAAAGGGGCAAAGTAGAGGAGAGAGAGGCAGAGGAGCATGGCATGGAGGACACCAGAGTGTATCTGAGGAAATGCCAAAATACATAACAGGTGTGTATATGTGAAAGGTCTTAATTTATCTCTCCATGGCAATTTGCTGGTGATTTAGTTTGCTGTCTTTATTTTTGTGCAAGAGCAAAAATTAGAACTGATGCTATGGTCTTCTGTTTTTCCTGATTTTCTCCAAAACATAGAAGTTGTTTTGAACTGGAATGAATGACTAGCTGTTGCTCAATGGGTCCTTTCAGATTTCTGAGTGGAAAAGTTACACCTTGTAGTGAGGGATATGCATTTTGGTTTCTGTTTGCTAGCAGAATGAGTACTGACAGTCATCTGATTTTAATGTAGCCAGTAAAACTGTTTTTACTCATGATGCAAGTTAAAGACAGCTTTTCACCTAACAGAACGTTTATTTAGGAGGGCAAATCAGCTTTGCAAAATGTTGCAGTGTTCTGATAGTAGATACACTTCCATAAACATGAAATGAGACCAAGCTCTGGATTTTTATTTTGTTTTTTTTTAAAACAGTCTGGAATATGTTACCGCTTCCAATTTTTTTTCCATACTAAAGATTTTTTTGTCTCCCTGAATACCAGCTGAAAAAAAATTGCTCTTCTAATTTAACAAAAAAGTATTTAATGCAAATGGGATTTGTTGGTTAAACAACTTTCAGATTCATTAATGTATAAATATTTGCTTGACCATATCTGTAAACTTCAGGATTTGTAAACAACTGATATTTCTTCAGTGACAGTATATGGTAATTCCTTTTATGTCAAGAAGATATGGGACTGCTGTACTAGGAGTAATTCTGTAATTTATGTGCAGTATCCTCCTCTGGTTTGTTGTTTGTCATGTCTCTGATGCCAGTTCTTTTCATTGCAGTGTCTACCTTTGCTCAAGCTCGTGCTGCTGAGATCAATGCCATGTTGAAAGCAGTTTCGCAGAAGTCTTCCAACTCTCTGGTTTTCCAGACCCTCCCCAGGCACATGCGAAGGCGAGCAATGAGTCACAATGTTAAACGCCTACCCAGGCGGCTCCAAGAGATGGCCAGGAAAGAGGTATAAGTGTGTTTTACAGCATTTCATGTAGTGGGCACAGCCAAAGCACACTATTCAGCTCTATATTTATTAATGTTCAGACCTGAATTTCTGCCAGACTTCCCTGAGCACCCTAAACTTTGACTCATGTTTGAATTCAAAATTCAGGATCACCTCAGTTTCAGGTGGCAGTTCAAGTAGGTCTCACTAACCCCCTGGTTTTGTGATTACTGGACATCTTGAAAAGTAATTAGAGTAGTGATAAAAGAATCCATTGCATGAGAGGTTGGGTGGTGCATTGGTCCAAGAATCCTCAGTAAGAGCTGCCTTGCACCCCACCCCAGCTTTAGGATGTGGCCATGCCAGCCTCAAGCTGCCGTGATGATTTGAGTGTTACAGCTTAAATGTGGGAGGTACACTGGGATTATTGGCAGGCTGCATGCAGCTTAAGTCTTACTAATTGACTAGTTCTAACCACTCATGAAAGTCATTTTGTGGCAGATGTCAACATTTAGTCAGAACATCCCTTTGGGGGTTACTTGCTCCTTATTCGCTATGGCCTCCCTGTATGTTTATAAAGGAAAATTAAAAATTGGTTCAGCACAGTGTTACTGGGGAATGATTTTGGCATTGATCACTTTATCATCTCTGAGAATTCCTAAAGTGATCAACTGAGTTTGTTTGATAAGTTTTTTGTTTATTAAGGTTGACTGATAAATTTATTTATTTATTGCATTCTTTTTTTCTTTTGTGTTCTCTTTTGAGACCTTGTCCCCTGCACCCTGATTTCCTGAAGATGATTATTCATGGTTCAGAAATTGTTTCAGAAGCTTCCCTGCCA